GCAGAAATATATATATATATAAATATATATATAAATATATATATTTAAGTCAATAAATTATTATAATGATGATTAAAAAAAAATGGTGGCCAGATATCATCATGAACAGCCTAACCGCAGTTTCGAGACTCAGGGAATTTCAACTGTTTTATTATATGTCTTTTTTTTCTTTTTTCTTTGGCTACTCAATAAATGCGATGCCAACACAAAATGCAGGAACACTTCCCCTTACAAACATAAAACCAGGGCCTTTCTTTTTGTAAGAGTTGCAGGATCAGGATCAACAGCATGCAAAACTCCGCACACGTTCCCAGGAATCGTTATGCTTTATTAGTCTACAGGTCTGTTTCCAGCTTATACAGGTACATTGTTAGGAATAACTGTGAAGGCTGAGGCATCCATACATATACCATGGTTAGCAATGGGCTACTTAGCAATGGGCTAAGCAAATGAAATGCAAGCACGCGTGAGGGAAGTCTCCCGGCGGGATATTACTTCATGAACAGGAGACTCTCCGTGCACCATGAGAGCGGAAATATTCACACCAACAGTGGAATGTAAGCCCTCCCTTCTCCTCAAGGTTAAACAGATAGCACAGTCTGGCGAAGCCAGTTCGCACGGTCTCATGAGCGCCTCCCAATAGTTGTTTACAGCGGTTAAGCCAAGCAAGCAAGCCATGCACACATGCGCTACAGGCAGGGAAGAACTAAAACAAGGAAAGCATGGCAGCTAGCTGCCATTGAGCTCAAAAAGAAAAGATGGTCTCTGAAGAGCAGCTAGGCCTCTCTGCGTTGTGTGACTGACACAGCAAGCGTCCTCTCCAAAAGGATCATGGGAAACGGGGGTTACCTCAGGGGCAGGTGACAGGCCAGGGGGAGAGCTAGAGATGCCATTTTTATGTGGTTGTTACAGTGTGGAGCCACCAATGGTTGACTTTTTAGTATTTCTTGAGTTTGACCCTGACTATTTCCCGAGCATTTACTTTCTCCCATGAAAAGCCCAACTGCCCTATCTCTCCAACCATAGAAGGAAAAGCAATGTATCCAAGGATACTGAAGCTGATTGGTTACCCACACCTGTAGCTGCACCTTGGTCCCAAACTCTCACTGACCTCCTGGAAAGCCAGGAAGATTATTAGCTTCTTCATTTACTCCAATACATTCACACCTATGAACCTGCCTCATACTGAAGCTGCAATGAGAGCCAGTTTGGTGTAGTGGTTAAGTGTGTGGACTCTAATCTGGGAGAACCGAGTTTGATTCCCCACTCCTCCACTTGCACCTGGCTGGATGGCCTTGGGCAAGCCGTAGTTCTGATAAGAGCTGTCCTTGAAAAAGAGCAGTTTCTGTCAGAGCTCTCTCAGCCCCACCTACCTCACAGGGTGTCTGTTGTGGGGAGGGGAAGGGAAAAGAGTTTGTAAGCCGCTCTGAGACTCCAAGTGAAGGGCGGGGTATAAATCCAATCTCTTATTATTATTATTCTGAACCAAACCCTTGGTCCATCAAGATCAGGATTGTCTACTCAGACTAGCAGTGGCTCTCCAAGGTCTCAGGCTGAAGTTCTTCCCATCATCCACTTGCTAATCTTTTTAACTGGAGATGCCGGGGATTGAACCTGGGACCTTCTGCATTCTGAGCAGATGCTCTACCATTGAGCCGCGGCCCCTCCCCATGATCTGTTGCAGTGTTCTACACACACAAGGACTTCTCTGCGAGATGTTATTGCAACCTGATTCTGCTCACAAGGAAACTGCTCTGAGAACCTTGTTGTCCACATTTGCCTTCCCTGATGAACATTCTAGATCAGTGGTGGCGAACCTATGGCACGGGTGGCAGAGGTGGCACTCAGAGCCCTCTCTGTGGGCACGCGTGCCATCGCCCCAGCCAGGCCCAGACCATTGTTAAAGTGTCGAATTCTCTTCCAAATAATTTTAAGTAAATGACAGCATTTGGGATTGCTTTCCTTACTTTGTTTGGATCATCTTAAGTTAATGTATGTGTTGTTTTTTCTAAAGTAAAACCTCAATATTCAGGTTAGATTGCCGTGTTAGCACTTTGCGATAAATAAGTGGGTTTTGGGTCGCAGTTTGGGCACCCGGTCTCTAAAAGGTTCGCCATCACTGTTCTAGATCATAAGAGAAGAAGAGAAGAGAAGAGGAGATTGGATTTATACCCCACCCCTCACTACCCAAAGGAGTCTCAGAGTGGTTTACAAACTCTTTTCTTTCCCCTCCCCACAACAGATACCCTGTGAGGTAGGTGGGGCTGAGAGAGCTCTCCCAAGAACTGCCATTGAGAGAACAGCTCTGAAAGAACTTTTGACTGACCCAACGTCACACCAGCAGCTGCATGTAGAGGAACTTCGATCATGTCACCCCTCAGCCATCATTTCTCCAAGCTAAAGAGCCCCAAGCGCTTTAACCTCCTTTCTTCATAGGGAAAGGGTTCCAACCCTTTTATCATTCTAGTTGCCCTTTTCTGCACTTTTTCCAGTGCTATAATATCCTTTCTGAGGTGTGGTGACCAGAACTGTACAAAGTACTCTAAATGAGGTCACACCATTGATTTATATAGGGGCATTATGATACTGGCTGATCTGTTTTCAATACCCTTCCTAATAATCCCCAGCATAGCATTGGCCTTGTTTACTGCAGTCGCACACTGTCTCGACATTTTCAGTGAGTTATCTACTACAACTCCAAGATCTCTCTCTTGGTCAGTCTCTGCCAGTTCGGACCCCATCAACGTGTATTTATAGTTAGGATTTTTGGCTGCAATGTGCATCACCTTGCACTTGGCCACATTGAACCCCATTTGCCACGTTGACGCCCACTCGCCCATCCTCGACTAGGATATGGGAAATCCAGGATCGATTCCCCGCTCTGCCATGGAAGCTTGCAGGGTGCCCTTGGGCCAGTCACACACTCAGCCTAACCTACCTCACAGGGCTGTTGTGAGGATGAAACCAAGGAGAGGAGAATGATGCTTTGGGTCCCCAGTGGGGGGAAAAGGCAGGATATAAATAAATTAAACAAACAAATCATCCCTATACCAACTGGCTAAAAATGCTTTTCGCTATTCCGAACTACTGCAAAATGCAAAACTAGGGAAGGGAGAAAAGAAACCAGAGATCTCCTTAGAGAGACAACGTTCATGTACATCATCATCATCATCATCATCATCATCATCATAGCAATATTTCTCAGCACAAAGCTTGATTTGGGGTTGTGGGAGGAGCGGACAGATTAACCAATTGTCAAGCACTGTTAGCCTATCCGAGCTTTCCTTCTCTTGGATTCATTGTCGGGTAAGTAAAATGCAGATTAACCATCATGTATATGACCAGTGTTCCCTCTAAGATGAGTTAGTGTGAGCCAGCTCACAGTTATTTAGCCTCATTCTTACACATTTTTTGCCTTCGCTCAGGAAGGAGGGCTCCAGAGCCAAATAATTTATGCAGCAGCCAAATCGCTCGCTCACAATGTTAACGCCAGCAGGTCACAGAGTAGAATTTTGGCTCACAAGACTCCACAGCTTTAGAGGAAGCATTGCCTAGGACTACTGTTGGATCAACTTCAGGCTTTGGGGTCCCCCTGCTTTCACACGTGCTAAATAATGCTGTTTCAGTCCACTTCAGCGACCGTCTGCAAGTGGATCTTGCCATTCCCCACCGTAAAATGCGGTTGTAAAGTACATTATTTGTTGTTGTTCAGTCGCACAGTCGAGTCCGACTCTTCGCGACCCCATGGACCAGATCCCGCCAGGCCTTCCTGTCTTCCGCCGTCCTCTGAAGTTTGCTCAATTTCATGTTCGTTGCATCGATGACACTGTCTAACCATCTCATCCTTTGCCGTCCCCATCTTCTTTGACCTTCAATCTTTCCCAGCATCAGGGTCTTCTCCAGTGAGTGCTCCCTTCTCATTTGGTGGCCAAAGTATTTGAGCTTCAGTTTCACTATCTGGCCTTCCAGGGAACAGTCAGGGTTGATTTCTTTTAGGATTGACTGATTTGATCTTCTTGCAGTCAGTACATTATTTAGTGTGTGCAAAAAAGGCCCAGAGCTTCTTCAGGCATTTAATGCACAGGCAGAACTTCATCGAGGACAGAGCAGGGCGGGGCCTCCTTCACAGCCCTTTAATACCCATTGTCATCAGCAAGGCTCCAAGGAGTATCCAAGGGATGACCTCTCCTCCCTCCAGATGTCCGTCTCAGCCTTAAGTGGGAGATGGCCCCCAGAGCCCATTGACTCTGGGTGATGGCACATTCCTGGCAGGAGCAGAGAGGACACACATGCTCTGGTGGGCGGTGGACTTTCTGCAGGGCTGTGGGCCTCAGCAGACGCCCCACAGAGTCGGCAACTTTTCAGGGAGGGGCCTGCAGATCTCCCGCTTTTACAACTGATCTCCAGATGACAGGGAGCAGTCCCCCTGGAGGAAGCGGCTGCTTTGGAGGGCGGCGTCTGTGGTTTCGTACCAGGCTGAGGTCCTACCCCTCCCCAAACCCCACCCTCTCCGGGCGCCACCCTAGGGATGTCAGGTCCTCACCTTCCGCCGGTGGGGGGATTTGGGGGGGATGGGCGGGGACGTTGTCAATGAGATGGCGTCAGTTCCAGAAGTGACGTCATCACATCGGCAACATCAGGGCAACACTCTTTGGGGGAATGGCTACAAATGGCTACAAGAACAAGAAAAGGGGAAAGGGGAAAAAACTGAACCTAAAACCTAGAATTCAGAACCTAAAAAGGTTAGTCAAGAATAGAAGAGGGCCAACTCTAAAAATCTAATTATGAAACATACAAAAATATACATGTATTTATTAAACAAAAATTAAAATAACAAATAAGGGCCCATTCATACCTCATATACAAATATAAAAATACAAAGGCTGATAAAATAGACCTAACGCGTTTCGGCCT